ACTATTGATGAGTCTCTCCCTCTTTTGAGCATCAGTCCCCCTAATGCAAAGTTGCCACCAGGTCTTGTGTTCACTTATATATATTTTTTTTTTTTGAACCAGGTGTAGGTTGCAACCTCTTCTGATGCCATCCTCAAGCAGAAGATCCTTTAGGTGGTTAATGAGCTGCATTCAGGTCTTGATGCTGCCCACCCCTTTCTTGACATCTTAAAGGGGAAAGACTTCCTGGGTCTCTCAATGGACAGTAAATAAAAAAGAAGGATTGTTGTACTCCCCGCCAAATCCTTTTCTTAGAGCCCATTTAGGGACACAAGGTCCATCCATCTGTGTTTCTGTACTGCTTTTGCCACAAAACCAAGGTATGCTGGTAGTGGGAGGGGTTCTTTGGAGCTGACCTGCAGCTTGTTCGGCTGTGTCCAATCCTCCTGAAGGCAGTAGTGTAACGCAAAGGTGAAAGACTTCCCTCAATGGACTCCAAGAAAATGATTTTACAGTGAATATATAAAACAGCTTATTATGCAGATGTGATTGTGTCAGAGAGGGTTAGCACCCCCCCATTATTTTTTTCTGACAGTACCACACTTCCTAACCTAAGGTGACCATGCTCATTCACTGCAATGTATCCATAGAGAAGCATCATCACCCTAGGGCCCTCTCCAGATTTGGACTACCTATTACATAGTGTATTGTGTGGTGAAAACAAAAGCTGGAAAGGCTAACCACTTAAGACCCCTGTGTTTTTTCCCCAGAGTCTAGGGTGTTGTTTATTTAGACAATATGTCACTTCCAACAGGTTACAAGTTTTAGGTTCTGTAATGTAGTCTAAAAAGGTATTATAGCACTTGAGGGTAAATAAGGCTTTCATTAAGAAGCACATTTCGATACATACATTTGCAGTTGGAATAGAACAGGTAGTTTTTTGTGCTTGCAGAAAATGTACTTGACCTGTAAAAAGAAAACTAATGAAGCCATCCTCAAAGCACTGAGAGAAAGCAATAGAATAGATTTTTTTTTTGCATGATTTTAGATCTACTATAAAAGGCAGTTTAAGGCTAAAGCCAGACTGATTCCAATTGTCTTGTTACAGATTTAACCACCTTTCTGAATTAGGCTAGTGGTACTCGGAAATTCTCATAGCCCAGTCGTATCACTCAAATTGCTAGTGATTAGCAGTAGCAATTAATCACTGAAAAGTCAGAACACATGGCTGGGTGTAGCTACACACCATGTAGTGATCAATCAACATCATTGGAGCATCATGCAGTCTTGCACAGCTGAATGCTACTTGTATATCTTACTCCATATGGATCTGCTATTCCTAGCAATTGATTTCTAACAGCTTTAGTGGTATGACTGATCTACTAAAAAATTGTGTAGCAATGAGGTGACTACCAGTGAAAGGTTAAATATTATAAAACAAGGTATTATAATCATCCATGTAGCTGAACCCTAAAGGAAACCTACAGAGAGACTATGGGATCTGTTATTGCCAGGCTCTACTCCTAAAAATTGAAATTGCCTGGCTTTGTCATGCTAATCCAATTTATTCTGCAAGTCAATACCATGGGGGGGGGGGTATTGACTTGCAGTATTTTTCTTGAAGACGTTTCATTGGTCATCCAACCAGCTTTCTCAATTCAGAAGACATGCAGATAAAGGTGTTCCAAATTCTACGCTACATCCTTATTTCTGGTCAGTTACATAGAAAGTACAGAAGCTATATAAAGCTCCTTACTTCTCCAGCACAGGGTTCCTCAGCCTGCATTTCTCAACTGAAAACAAAGTTGAATGCTATGATTAAATTGGGGCCTCATTAAAGTGTAAATCCAGAAAACAAAATTCAAAAAAGATTTAATCACAATATTGGGCAAGAGGTGGAGAGGCATCAAGTTTTACCTTGAGCTAAGGGCACATTCCCAAGTCCTTCTCAAAGATGCAACAAGGGAGGCATAGGTGAGCAGGACCGGAATGGGGGACCCAGCCACAGGGCTACATTCCAAACAGCTGCCTTTAATAGGCAGGGTGGGCTTATTCCTGAGAAAGCTACAAGAACAAACACAGGTCTAGAGGGATCTGCAGAGTTAGTGATTCTTTTGTATAGAAACACAAGGAAGCATTAACATGCATCTAAAAACCCACTTTGGATAACGTAAATGGTTAAAACCCCAGAGGAATCTCCCCTTGAACAGCAGTAATCACAAGTGTCCCCATTGGTAGATTTACACTTACCTGTCCCTTGCCAATTGTAGCATTTTGGAATTCCCATCACTTATAGGACAAAGGATGAATGTCCCCCAGTAGGGACAGTCAGCAATAGAAACAGCCGTTACTAAACCTTACCCACTTCATCCCAAACTAGAAAAGGCTTTCGGAATACTCCGACATGTACTTTCAGTGTGTGTGGGGAATAAATCCAACCTCTGACTGTTCTTTCAGTAATGGCTTTCTCAAAGCATTTCGCTCTAATGGCCAAGTTGATTGCACTACCAGTGCCAAAGCCTGTTTAGATGTACAAGGCAGCAGTAATGTGCATGGAAATCCTGAACACACCCCCAGACATTAGATGAAAGGTGGCTAAGAAACAATTGGCACATTTATTTAGCCATCTGCTGGGTTGGACACAAATTGTTACAGAAGATGTCAATTAGTTACAGATAAGCCCCACATTTCTGGATGGATTTCAGATATTTATCGGACAACCTCCTGTTCATGTGATTGGTCAGTAGTGGGTGCAATCTGCCTTACGGATGGATCTTTAGGCTAAATTATACATATTTTAATGTACCAGCCAACATTATTGGTGGACATTAACTGGCAACATCAGCCAGCATAAGAAAACTATTCTTTATATGTTAAAATATACCTAAGCTCAAAAATAATGTTCATTTTACTGCGAGTGCAATATTGGGGGACCACCACATCGTTGCATCTATTTTAAAGAAAATAGCTCAGTCGCATAAGCTTTGGCTTGATAAAACTACATAGTATACTAAAGGTGTCCAGAGGTGGGAATGTTCCAATCCAGCCATTTCTGGCCACATCAAATGAGCCAAGCCAGGTAAGCAAAGGTTACACTGAGCCACATGGAATGGATTGAATGACATTTTCTGAAGTATTTGACATGCAGAATTACACAAGGTGTAGTCTTGATCAGTCTAAGGACCTGCTGGATGAGGCCACCAAGCCATGTCTAATCTACTGCTTTTCCCTGATAAGCCAGTACTAAGATACCTGCAGCATGCCATCCATGTCCTGATGTATAGATAAAAGTCTCTCACGCTCTAACCATACCCATTTTTTGGAACCAACAAGTGCAGGGGTGCCAAATCATGCCTGCACATGTGACCATACTAATGTCAATGCCAACCTTTACTGTAGCCAAGCTTCTTTAGTCCTATAGCTCAAAGACAGTAACTGCCTTGCAGTAGATTTAGAGGGTTATTAAACCCTCGCATGTTTTTGCATACATCTACGGCTAGCGAGCAGTAGATATATGCAAAACGATTATTAAAAAAAAAAAAACATCGGAAAATGTTCCCGCCGGCCACAAAGGATCATGTGGCGGACGCATGCGCACTTCAGATGTTCAGCCGGGAGACGAGGAGAGACACAAGATAAGTCTATGGAGCAGCGTGCATCCGCACAGACTCCGTGGGACATCAGAGGAGTCAGCGCGGGATCGGAGACCTGCACCAAAGCTGGAGGGACAGCTGAAAACTACACTAAAGATCGGATTAAGAAGCATTTAAAGTGACATTAAAGTCAAAAACTTTTAGCCCTCCCCCCAATGTTAATGCCAGCACTTACCTTAAATGATGTCTCTTAATCCGATCTTCTTTCCTGTCCTTTTCAGCCTTCTCTCCAGCGCTGACTCCTCTGTCCTTGCTGGCACTTCCTGTCCCACGGTGTCTGCATGCGTCCATAGACTTACCTTGTGTCTCTCCTCGTGTCCCGGCCGAAAATCCGAACTGCGCCCGTGGCGAAGAGACAGGTAAGTTTAAACCGCTTTTAAAAAGGCAGGGAAAAAAAATGAGCCTTTAATATCACTTTACGTGTGCAGTTGTTTCCTGTTATGCCCCCTGTGGCATTTGAAGTTCTAGAGTGCTTTGCCTCGGAGGTCTAGATCACACACACTACAGCTGCTATTCAGATGGGATTCTCCCTTATATTTTAAAAACATTTACGGGTAAGACTGGCAGAGAATACATTAAAATTCTGTCTAGAGTCGTTAAGTGAGTGACCTGCACCTCACAGCAGCCGTCTGCAGTCTATGAAACGTTAAAAACCTAGGAACGCATTACAGGAAATCACCCATGATAGGCGAAATGAGAGATGCTCTGCCCCATTCCTTTCAAAAAAATTCCCAGACACAAATTACATGTTACCATTTTTTTTTTATTTTTCTCCTTTCCCTGCCTGAAACTATAAAAAAAAGTCTCAAAAGAAAAAAAAAAAAAAACCAAACAAAAACAAAAAACCAAAAAGGAACAGTCTAAAAACAGAAAAGATGCCCAGCTTGTGTCTTCCAACACTATGCAGGAACCTGAGCTAAAATAAAACTATAAAGAAAAGGCTGTTTTTGTGAGGGGCAGCCGACTCTCTCCGGGAAGCAAGCTTCTCCCATAGAAAGATACCTGCAAAGATAAAAACACGCAAAAAAAAGAAAAAGGAAAGGAAAACAGCAGGATGTTTAGCAGACATCACTTCCCTCCCCACAACTGAAAACACACTAGGCTGGGAACCATTCAGTATACACATTCTTTAACAGGTATCCTGCACATGAACAGTCAGCACCCCTGGGGCAAGTCATACACTCAGCACACTTAACTAATACAACCTCTTATCCACCCACCACCCCAACATACAGTAACCATCAGGAGCCTGGCCTACCACACCCATCTTGAAACATTGAAGGATGAACATGGGGCATGTAAGCGCAAGAGAAAAGGAATGGTCCACAGGGGACCGGTTTAATAAACTCTTAAAATTCATTGCAGTCTTCTTTTTTTTTTTTTCTTTTTTTGTGTTTTTGCCTCTCAGGTCTTCCTAAAGTTATATTTTTAGTAAGGTGAATACCATGACGTCACACGAGCCCGACCCCTGAAAAAGATAAGCCTAGTGTAAGCAATGTTGTTAGGACAAAAACAGGACCCTTAATGTCTCTTGTGCTCATTAACCCCAGACCTGTACACGCGTCCTCTGGGTCTTGAAGGATAGCCGCTGTAGAATCTGGAACGGGAAGTGAAGGAGGATGCTCTCGCTCTATATCTTGCACGTGGAAAGCCTCTGTCTGTTGTGCTAATGCCGGGTCTGTTTGTCCTTTTGGGAACCACCTGTCAAAATAACACACACAGTGAGGAGTGCAATAGCCAGATTTTGGCACATCCTGGAAAGCCAATGCTTCTCTGGAATTCCAATAAAGACATTTCTCTGCCTGATTTCTTGGGTCCCTACACTATAAGATTTTCCATTTAATGTTATGGAGAAGATAGGAGTAGAAACAGGGGAAGATCTCACTACTGGAGTCCCAAAATATACACAAAGCTAGAAGTTAAAACCAAGACTCCACCTAGGTGACAACCTCTGGGCAGACTATCTAAAAATACTAATGGCACATTTCCTAAAGCGTGGTCCCTAAACCATAGTGCTCATTGTTCTAAACATTCTGAAGCAATTGCTGTAACTGTTCTCTCCTCATTTGAAAGCCAAGAGCCAAACACCCAAGACTCAAAGCCGAAAGTTCAAAGGTTCCCTGTAAAAAGGCATTTCCCGATATTTCAGTGAAGGTGGAAATCCCCTTATACAAAAGTTGTAACAACCAAAAAATACAAAATGACTAAGACATGACAAAGACTCACAAAGCTGCTTTCTGTTACTAGAAGCCATGGAAATACCCGTGTAGCCTACAATCTGCAGCTTACGCAGTGACAGGACCGATTGTCACATGCTCCTCTATACCTGGAAGTAATGAGCATTTCCATCAGCTCCTGGTGCTCAAGTGGCAGGGGGTGAAGGAAAAGTACACAATGGGGAGAGGAATTAAAGTCCATTTCCACCTTTGTAAGTGATTGGCATTTATTGTGGTAATAAAGATGTGCAGTGATGTATACGTGTGCACAATTTATCACTCATTGCGGGCTCTTTTTTATTTATTGTTTGATTAGACCTGAATCCAAGATATTCAGAATGTTCTCCACAGACACTCCGTCCGACACTGGGGTCGGATTATAGAGAAGGCAGTAAAAAGGTGCCCCCCTCCCTCTGATTCTGTGTAACACCATCACTAATCACCAGCTCTGCCTTTCTAGGTTACAATATGCTGTCCAAGAGTGTTGGCGCTATGAATACTAATGAATGGGGGGAGAGATCAGTTGTAATTTAAACAGACTGCTTGTAGAGCACAGAGGCGGCCATTTCCACGAGGAGATGAAAAAGGACAGCAAACAAAAAAAAAAAGTAAGCTTCTGTGTTCATATACAGCAACTGCATATGCCTGCTCCATGTTCACTCAGTGTACATTGCTGGCACAGTGGGTTTCTTTTTTTTTTTAAATACCTCTCCAAAGGTGGACATGGGCTTTAAAGCAATCCCCTTTAACCCCGACATGAGCAGACCTACCAGAATCAAGCATGCATTTCACTATGCCAATAGACAAAAAACACCCCCTGCAAATCTCTAAACAAAACATTCGTTTACAAATGTGATTCTGGAACAACAAGCGAGGACCAGCTCAAAGTAACAAAGACAAGCAGTCGCTACCTAGTAACTGCCACTCTTTAACCATGAAATATGTGCCAATATGGGTGATTTACAGTAAATGGACCCCCTCAACCGTTTCCTCTGCTTAAAAATGTCCCCCTACAGAGACCTGTATTTACAAAGAAAAACCACCCAATTGCAAAGCCATTAGGCATATAGTATGTTGTGTGTAGATCTGGCGTCACTATAAAAAGGAAAGTTTTACAAGCAATATATTTTGCCATACGAGTATTGTAGCAGTACATCAGTAAACCCATCATTGGTTATAAATGCAGCAAGGTGCCTTACTTTTATCTGTCGGCCTCTGAACAGAGACTCATCAAGGGCCATTGATGTCCTGACAGATTCTTTATCAGAAAATTCAATGTATGCAAACCTGCAGAAACAGAATATTGTCAAAACAAAAAGGCCAGACTCCATTTCCTCCCAGAAATTGTAATATGCAGAGAAAGCACGCAGCAGCTATAATCGCAATCTAATATTCACCATAGTACTAATGACATGCGAGCTACAAAATGCTATGTCAACATAGAAATAGAAACTCTGAAGTCACTATGTACATACAAGATGGATACACTGTGCCAAAAGAATGCCACAGCAGCCTTCTTCTCTCAGTCATTAACATAGCTGGCTGAAGGAAGTGGAGACAAATACAGTACTTTGCTAAGGCACAGAGCCATCAGCAGTCACAGTTTCATAGCAGGAACCACTTTCTCTGCTACTGCTGGACTTTGACTATTGCTGAAATGGGTAATAACACGTGGCAAAGATTTGGATATTTTGCAAGGTTCCTTACCAACTCTGAACCTTAGAGAACTATGGGGTTAATGTTTTCCCCATAGTTCTCTTAAAAGGTGAACTATGGGGTCAGGGCTTTTCCCCATAGTTCTACTAAGGGTAACGGGAGGACACAAACTAGCATCCTCCCGTCACCCTAAGCTCAGTATACCGCGAGCTGTACCGAGACGCCGTAGTCCGGACGGATCCCGACTTTACTGTCGAGATCCACCCAGCTGTGGGATTGACATCTGGCATTGCCTATCTAGAGGCAGAGCCAGCACTGGAGGATCGGACAGGGGAGGGGGGATCCCTGCAGGGAGCCATGAGAGACAATCACGGCTCTCTGCAGGGATAGATCGAGAAGTGAGTGAGCGCCGGTATGTGTTCGCTCACTTCCCGATCTATTGAGCCGACCTGTGACAGTTTAATTGTCACACGTTGGCTCAAACTATGAGGATGAGTGATTTTCATCGCCTAACTGTTCTCATTTAAGAGTCACGGGAGGACATATACTAGCGTCCTCCCGTGACCCAAAGCTCAGTATATCGCGAACTACAGCTCGCAGTATACTGAGACTGCCGCAGCTGGGACGGATCCCGACAATATTGTCGAGATCCACCTAGCTGCGTGAGTGACAGCTGGCTCTGCCTATCTAGAGGCAGAGTCAACCGTGCCCGCCCCTTTCCCCGTCCGTTCCTCCAGTCAGCGCTGCAGGATCGGAGCGGGGAATCCCTGCAGTGAGCCGTGAGTGACAGCTCTCTGCAGGGACATGATCGAGAACTGAGCGAGCGACGGTATGCGTTCACTCACTTCCCGATCTATTGAGCCGACGTGTGACAGTTTCATTGTCACACGTCGGCTAGAACTATGAGGATGAATTATTTTCACTCCTCCTAGTTCTCCTTTAAGATTGCTTGTAATGAAACTGATTTGAAAACTGCAAAGACAATCTGAACCAGCACAGGTAGTAGTGCCAATTCTTGACCCTAACAGTGCTAATGAGCTGGCTGCCTGCTTCAGGTTACTGCAGCCAGCTCATTCATTTTAATAGCACCCCAAACACACCTCCCACCCACAGTGTGATTGGCCGCACTGGAAGGCACGGTACTGCAATTGTAAAAACTGTTCATGCAGGTTTATTCCGAAGTAACCTTTATCTTTGTCACACTGCATTTGTGTATTTTATTTATTCCATTTTCTATAACTGATCAAAAAAAGAATGGGCCAACTAATCAAGTCTGAAAATCATTAGTTGCAGCCCTACTATAAAAACACTTACCCCTTGGGATGACCCGTGTACTTGTCACAAAGAATGGTTACCCTATTCACAGAACCACAACCATGGAAATGGGCCTCTAACTCTTCTGCTGTTGCTCCATAATCAACCTGCATAAAAAATCAAATACAAATAAATGAAGATACGGAAAGAGAAGAGCACAACATGGCGACTGGACACCCAATAGTTAGAGTCATTATCCATGAGGGACTCTTTGGGGCTTTTCCCAAATCTGCAGTCAGATGATGCAGGCTCAAACATGGCTACAGCTTCTGAAAGGTGCCGCTTTATAAGGGTCCATTCATATCACTGATCTGGAGAAATCACAAGCCACAGCCAACCAAAGGTTTCCTACAGTACATCAAGCCAGCACACCGTTACCTCAGTGCACGCCAACGCATAAAATGGAAGTGCCGATAGGCACAGCTCTAAATGTCAGTCGTATTGTGCCAGCAAACATGTATAACAATACCGAATATACACAATCAGCACATAGTCTCCGATACTGCAATTGTAGAGAACATTGTAAATACCTACAAGAAACAAAAAAGAGCGACACTACAGTGTTCTACCTATAGCCATCACAATACCATTAGACGGCCTTTTGTTTGCATGTGTTCCGTGACATCTCAAATGGGGAAAAATAATGTACCGAGGCAGGCAAGGTATGTCAACTGTTATTTTGGCTTTTTATATTTGTTACGTGTTCCATTCACATAGCATTCATTTAAAAAAAAAAAAACAAGCTCCTTGCAGTTTATACCGTTTTTACTTGCGTTAGGTTTTTAAAGGTTAACATTTCTACTTGCTTCTCTTTCTTTGCAATGTTAGGAGAGGCTGTGAGAGGCCCAAGTAGGCTTGTTAATTGTATGGTTAATGAAAAACAAACCTCAAAAGGTCAGTCTTTTCCATTAATACAGATCATGTGAAGGTGCTGAGATAACCTGGAATCAGCAGTCTTGCCTGATTTAACAAAACATCTAAAAAAGGTACTCTTAATTATTTTTCATTATGCTGTGTGAACAGAACATAAACCTTTAGAGGGGTTTTCTCAAATTTGACTGCAAAAACCGACTAAGCCGGGTTCAGACGCTTTGAATTTCCTCCGGCATCCCTCGAACAGTTGATCGAAGGAGCATGTTGGAAAATAGTTGGCCTAACAATCCAGCAGCCAATGAGCGACTGGCCGGTGGCCGCTCTCAGAATATAAAGGAAACGGCAGGAGATTCTAAGTGTTGATGGAGGAATCCACTCTATTTTCTTCATTCAGCCGGCAGGTTGAACGGGGAAAATAGAAGCATGTAAACCCAACTTTAAGTTAACTCTTGTGTAAAGTGAGATTTGTTACCATTTGAATAGTAATGACCTGTGCAATCGTTGCAATTTGATCTTACAGTCAACATACAAGAACCTATAAGCCATGGACACCGTAAGATGAATGGATTTGTCAAAATGATGAACTATAACCTACGCATGGTATAGAAATTTGTGCTACCATTATCTAAAATACTAAACTCACATTTCCAACATATATTGAACGAGCGTCTGCTTCCATTTTCTCTTCTATTGACATAATTACAGGACCAGCTGCAAAACAAATAGTCTTGAAATACAAAAAATCCAACGAGCACACTGCAAATATCAAAACTCAACTGGCCAAGACCTTCAACCGCTACCATATACCATGCTGCCAAGTGGTGTTCACAAGTACAAGCATGAAGCACCATCAAACCCACAGCCTAAAAGAGACTACCCCAGGATGACCTGCAGCATGTGCGAATACATGCAAACAGACTGCGAACAGTGGCAGCTGTCATTGGATTACACAGTGCTTCCCAGCCACAGATCGCACAAGTCTCAAAAAGGAATTGGTGAGAGAGACTTAGCCATGAGGTCCCAATGACGTTTGTGCATGGTGCCTTAACCTCCCCACAGACATTTTAAGTGTACCCACATAGAGCCCCAAGGACCCATAATTGAGGGTTCTGAGAAAGGGGACGTGGCCCCGGAAACGCATCAACTCAGGCATACTGTGCTGGCACACAGGAATACTATCTGTGCAGCTCTCACATGTCGTGTTTTGCTTTTTGCTAAAATGAGGATCAACCTTTGATTTTGAAGCCTTATCGTTATCTACTCTTTTGCATGTATTACTCTACTTTTGCCGGTTTTCGAATAAAAATGTATCTACAGTAGGGAAGGCGCCCCTGGTTTTTACCTTAAGTGAGCTCATTTCACAGGAACGGGCTAGAACACACCTCAACAAATGAAAGACAAAACTCTGTAGGCTGCATTTTTTGCCGCGCACATGTGTTTAAAATAAATGGCAATGTAGAACACTATATTGTATAATGGGTGGTGTGAATGGGCCCTGAATCACCCCGAATATATCCCGATTAGTTGCAGACCACCGTGTTCTCTAAAAAGCATAGTCAGTGAAATTGGTGAAAATGGGCAACTTGAAGACTGGCCAAACCCTCAACAGATCAGTAGAATACAATGCATTTATTCAAGTATGGTTTAGATCCTTACCGTTTCCTGGTGGAGGGCTCATGTTCATTTGTTTCTCTACCTCATTCTGCATTTCCTTTAATTTCTCGGCTTCTTCTTCCATTTCCCGAACACGCGCTTTGATTGCTTCAAGCTCCTGTAGAACATATCAAGTAATAAAAAAAATAAAATGGGTCCAGCTTTTGCCACAACTAAAGGAGACATGCCACTGCTTATTAGGGCCAATATGTTCTATGCATACAATATGAACTGTGAGATAGGACAATATCATGATCAACAATTGTGTGCCTCCAAAGACACGAGACCAAGCACAATGTCACAAGGCCTTGTAATAACACTTAAGCTGGCCATACACTTTACAATTTATCTGCAGATTTTCTGTGGTCAGATGGAAAAGGTGCAACAGATTCCTCCATCTATGCTAAACTGTGTGTATGGAGTAATCTCCACCCGGAGCCAATCTGTTGCACTTTTTCCATCTGACCACAGAAAATCTGCAGATAATTGTAAGGTGTGTGGGCACCTTAGGAGGTCATACATGCCTTTGTTTTGCACTTCAATGAGACCTATTGTGCATGGTAGCATGATGCACTACTTCAGCCAAGCTTTTTGACTGGGCCCCAACGCATGAGAACACTTGTGCACCATTTTGTTTCCATCACAGCTCTCACTGTGCATTGCAGTGCACTGTAGCTCAAGTACACCGCTATTGGATATGAAAAGCAATGCACGTTATGTTGCATTGCTGCAGCTATGGGGTCATTTTACAATACATTCACAGGACAGTTTGCTCTGTAAACATCTTTGTTTCATCTTTCGCACCAAGTTATGGCCACTAGATAGAGCCAAGGAGCAGAAGAAATTCCTATACTCCTCAGCTTTATCTATTGGCTACATTGCGATACGAACCTGAAACTGAGATGTTCTGCAAGTGTTTTATAAATGCACCCGTGGGTGAAGGGGGCCTTAATCACAGCACTGCATAGCCAGTCTTAACCACAGTACATTACCAAACCTTGACTAGTTACAGGGCCTGGGGTGTGGTAATGAACACAATTCATGGTCAGTATATTTGGCGAAAAAAAAAAAAAACTAGCTAAACTATTTGACCATCCCACAGAAAACACCAGGATACCTCTGGTAAAAGCCAGCTAGACTGTTTGGTATGAACGCTGATCCTCTGCTGCATGACCATGCTTCATCACTATCACATGACTATGCTTCATCACTATCACATGACTAACTACATTCGTGTTTTAGGTAGGACCGATAGGTGCTTAAAGGAGAACTATGGGGTCAGTGTTTTTCCCCATAGTTCTCCTTATGGTAACGGGAGGACACAAACTAGCGTCCTCCCGTTACCCTAGGCTCAGTATACCGCGAGCTAGAGCTCGCGGTATACTGAGACGCCGCACCTGGAGCGGATCCCGACTTAGATGACGGGATCCGCCCAGCTGCTTGAGTGACAGCTGGCTCTGCCTATCTAGAGGCAGAGTCAGCTGTGCCCGCCCCCTCTGCCAGTCAGCGCTGGCAGATCGGAGCGGGGAATCCAGCCCCTCCCCCTGTCACGGCAGAGAGCCATGACAGGATGGAGAGGTGAGGGAACCCGGTATGTTTTCCCTCACCTCCCGATCTACTGAGCCGACCTGTGACAGTCTCATTGTCACAGGTCGGCTAGAACTATGAGTTTCCTTTCTCCTTTAAAGGAAACCTACAAGCATAGAAATATGGGAGCTGTCTTTGCCAACTTGCTTATAGTAGATGCAGGCTCTGGAGCTACCATTCTGATCATTGCGTCAATGTAGCAAGTCGCTGACTTGGAAGACATATGTAGCACAGGAGCTCACCAATGTTAGACTTCAATGGCTGCAAGCATGTGACACTACCTTATAGTAAGCAACGTTGGCAATAGCAGCTCCTAGATTTATGCCCTCACCTGAACCTGCCATGCACAAAGCACAGGTTCACTTCCAGCCTCTGTTATTTAGAAGTATTGCTGGAGTGGGCAGAAGCACCAGAGTGAACATAGGCTGCAGCTGCTGAAGGGGCCACCCATTGGTATGAGGACAGTGGTGAGGTAAGCCTGGGCCTCCATTGTGATTTCATCCACAAAAACAATGATCCTGACATATGTACCACACAGCTTACTGAAGTCAATTTGAGGAAGCAGCTAGGGTGCGTACAATACAGGACAATGACTGGCAGATCCTATTGCCATTAGTGAGGTCTACCTGTCCAATAAGCAGCCTTCAAGTTTGTGTACAAAAAGGTTTTCAATCTGTACGTTGCTTTTATTGTTCCAGAATAGCCAGGGCATGGCAAGCGCATAGTAGATTCATCTCCAAACACCAGGGTAGTCTGCACTGTTTCTGCATAGTGTTTATGTATTCTCAAATACAACTAAAAAGCCAACACAGTTGGCTTCCAACCCCTAAGGGCCCATTTACACTGCCATCCTTGTGCGTTGTAGCACAGCATGCGACAACCTGCATTGCATTAAAAGGAGAACTATGAGGTGAGTGATTTTCACTCACCTCATAGTTCTAGCCGACTTGTGACAATGAGACTGTCACAGGTCGGCTCAGTGGATCGGGAAGTGAGCGAAGACATACCGGCGTTCGCTCACCTCTCGATCCTGTCACAGCACAGAGCCGTGGCAGGGGAGGGACTAGAATCGCCCCTCCCGCGCTGATTGGCGGAACAGACGGGGGAGCGTACAGCTGGCTCTGCCTCTAGATAGACAGAGCCAGCTGTCACTCACACAGCTGGGCAGATCCTGACATAACTGTCGGGATCCGCTTCAGCTGCGGCATCTCAGAATACTGCGAAATACTGAGCTTTGGGTGAAGGGAGGAGCGCTAGTATGTGTCCTCCCGTTACCCTTCGGAGAACTGTGGGGAAAAGCCCTAACCCCATAGGAAACAAATGACTCCTAAAAGCCGATTGTAAACAGATCACCCAGAAAATAGGATTACCAACCTTGACCCAGCCTCCAATGCCTCTAGGGGGCACAGACATCACAATGCCTCATGGGGTACCTGGGCGCTCACAATTCCATGTGCAGTTTGAGCGGAGTGCACCCTTGCAAGATTCTGAGCCCCCAGCATTACAAGGCACAATGACATCACTTGTGCATCTTGGAATCGTCAGAGGTCAGGCCGAGGTTAGGATTTCTTTTGGGCAATTCGTCTACAAATGCTCTTTAAAGTCATTTGTATTGCTTCTGTCTGGCATGGAAGACCTGATCTTTGTCATCGGAATGCCTTCATTGTGGTCCCCAGCAGTAACATACACCATACAAGGTACAGATAAACCCAAGACTGACACCCAGTCCTGACCAGTCGATTTACAACCACCCACCGTCAGCAAATATTGAACGGCTCAAGTCTGCAGCATTCACATGAGAAAAGAAATGACAAGGCCTCGTCAGCATTTATGCCTTCACTATTGCTGAGTGTTACCCCCTCCAATGGCAGGTCATGGAGGATGACAAACCCACTATGTGATATAGAATGACAGTACGTAGCTACGATCACTGCAGATTACTGGAAGGTCTTTGTCCAGAACACACACGATCGGATTTATTCTGCCGGATCACAACATTGGTCAGTGACACAACCTAAACACCCCATTCATTCCCTAATCAGTGGCTTGTGCCTCTAAGCACAACTGATCGTAAACCCAATTGAGCTGATCGATCAGGTGTGTGTCGTCTCTGGGTCTTTTAAGGTGCCACCAGTAAGCTAGCATGCAGCAAGCCTCCATTACATGACGCCCCTTTCCCCACCCCCCCATCACATCCTGCCCCCACCGCTGAGCTCTCACCGGGTCCTCGATGGCGGGATCTCCGCTCAGTTCACCGGGCTCTTCCTCCTCCAGCTCTTCCTCTTCCAGTTCCTCCAGTCCCCCGGCGCCTCCGCTCCCCGTGCTCCCTCGTCCTCCCGACCGCCTTCCCGTGGCCACTCTACCCCCTATCCGCCGACTTCTTCTACCCGGGCCCAGCAACTCCAGGTCAAGTTCCAGCCCTCCGCGGCCCATGGGATCGTCCTCCCCGGGATCCTGGCCTGCAACCGCCGAGCCAGATCCACCACGAAGCCCGTTCTCATAGTCTGCTCCACGCAGTGCCGCTGCTGAGGACACCGCCGCCATCTTGAGAAGAGATAGAGCAACCAGCCGCAGAGCCAACCCTTGTAACTGAGCTACAGCTGAGATTGGTACTTAGTGATGTCAATCATACCCCACTATTTGCCGATTGGCTCATGGATAGTTTATTGTTTCCTCGGGCGCCAGTGAGAAATCCCGCCCATCCGGTGTAGCCGGATTGGCTGCTAACTGAGCATGCGTAGTAGGCCAGCTGCCTCCACTGCGTTGGGATAGGTAGCGGACATCCCCTTAGGAAGGGCGGCTGTTGTTGGGCTAGAAATGAGGAAGCTGCCATTGCTGATTTGTTTTTTTAAAGGGAGAGTACAGTGGATTTGTACAGGTTTTTTTATTTTGGCAAGAATAAAAAAAAAATGCTAAAGCTGAATTCTGGGAATTACTAGAAATTGTAGTTACATGCTAGTTAAGTTTAGAAATAAAGAGTAATACCTTATTCCTCACTCCAGCAACCTCCATCAATCTTTACTCTCCCTAAAGCCTAAGATGGTAAGACCGGCGGTCGCATGATGACATCATCAAATACAATGAAGGGCCAATAACCCTGCATTGTGCGTGAGAGGATGGCGAGAACATTGAAGTGGTGAGCGCCGGATCATGCCAGAGTGAGGAATCAGGTATATGGCTCTTTATTTCTCTATTGCTAGACTTAACAAGCATTTAACCCTTACAGTGCAGATGGAGGGGAAAGAACGCTGCCTTTTTGTTTGGTTTTCAGAGATCAGCTTTAAAGGTTTTCATTTTTTTTAGAAGCAAAATATGAAATATGGCAGATTTGGTACTATAGCCAGCAGGTGGAGCTCTGGGCTGTGGCATATGTTTCTCTACAGACCTTAGCAGCCCACAGTGAGATTTGTCTCCTTAGCTAACCCGCAGTGCTCTGGGAATCCTAGACCTGTAGTAAAAGTTTGTTTATTACACAAACATTGTAGATTTAAAGTGGACATTTACCCCCCTTACACTAGAAATCCCATTAGCATGCAGCTCTGCATGCTGATATGAAATAATCTTACTTTCTCTAAACAGATTTGTTTTCCTTGCAATTTTCCACTTCCTGGGCCTCATAGGCATTAGTGATGTAATGTGCCAAAGTGTTGCATCCTGGGAAGGTTACATGCCCGCCGCTCTCTCAATTGGTGGACAGGGCCGGAAAGGCTGCAAAGAGGCATGATGTGGTATCAGATCAACCCAGTCAGGGTCACTACGGATGCGAGTTCTTAGGGCTGGGGGGCTCATGCCCAGGGATTACAGGCTCAAGGGCCTTGGTCACAAGATCTAAGAAATAGAAGCCCTAACCCAGGATTTGGGTGTTCAACCTAAGTTATGCCTTTTCTCGTCTCTGCTTGATCTCTCAGATGTTACAAAAATGAAGCCAGGCGAGATGCTTTCTCATTCTGGTAGCTCCCTGGTGGCCCAAGAGAACCTGTTTTTCAGATCTTCAGAGTCGGTCTATTCTCCCTCCGTGGGAACTTCTGTATAGAAGGGGGGAGAGGGGAATCTTCTTTTTCAAGGGCCAGTGCTGCATCCAAATCGAAATACATTTCGGTTGATGGCCTGGTTCTTGAAAGGAGGCTGTTAAAGGAGAACTATGAGATGAGTGATTTCCACTCACGTCATAGTTCTAGCCGACCTGTGACAATGAGACTGTCACAGGTTGGCTCAGTAGATCGGGAGGTGAGCGAACACATACCGGGTTCCCTCACCTCTCGATCCTGTCACGGCTCTCTGCCGTGACAGGGGGAGGGGCTGGATTCCCCTCTCCCCGCTCCAATCTGCCAGTGCTGACTGGCGGAACGGACGGGGAGGGGGCGGGTACAGCTGGCTCTGCCTCTAGATAGGCAGAGCCAGCTGTCACTCATGCAGCAGGGCGGATCCCGTCATCTACGTCGGGATCCGCTCTGGCTGCGGCGTCTCAGTATACTGGTGGTAGACACTCTCCTTTCCAGTAGGAAGGTGATCACTAGAAAGATCTATAGTAAAGTATGGAATATTTATTTTTCTTTTCGGTTTACGTGGGAACATGGTTTCTGCTTTGGTTCCGGTTATTTTGGATTTCGTACAAGAGGGCCCTCAGCACCTTAAAGGTACCATTATCTGCCCTCTCTGTTTTTCTGGAGAAAAAAAAATGTTGATTGAACCGTTGATAAAACAATTTCTTACAGCTATTGAACTTTCTTGTCCGGTACAAAGTAAAGTTTTCCCTCCCTGGGATCTTTCCCTGGTGTTGGGAAGACTTTCAAAATCTCCATTTGAACCCATTACTAAGGTTTCAGTTAAACGGTTGACGCTTAACCAACTGCTGTCCGTCCGTTGTAATTAAACGGAAGGACAGTGGCTTCTTGGATGCTGGTGGGCGTTTTTAAACCCCATTTGTGCGTACCGCCTAGCGGGAAATCTACTTGAAATGTAAACTGCCAGCGATGGCTGTTTACATACAAGCGTTCGGGCGTCTGTAGAGACGCCCGATCGCTTGTAATGTGCGTGCGGGTGTGCACCCCCCTCCATCACACAAAAAGAGCACCTGTCACTGCAAATTGGCTTTTATATAAGTCACATGTAAAAGCAATTAAAACATTTTTTAAAGTGCCCTGACCCCACATGCAAACATGCGTCGAGTATGCCTACGTGCGAAAACGATGATTGCATCCATTGCACCGCACATGTTACATATCGCCGCAAACGTCTCAGTGTGAGCAATACTTTTAGGGCCATTCATCACCGATAACACTAAACTGATGAGCGGTAAAAGCTTTTAAAGCGTCGCCTATGGCCAATTTTGGGTATGGTGTTTTGTGCGATTTCGCGGGCACACGCAATTTTAAAGCTTGACATGTTTGGTGTCTATTTACCCAGCATGACCCCACCTTTTATATTATATACAAAAATGTGTCAAGAATAAATGTTTTATAACATAACGTAGGGAGAACATTTTTTTTTTTCAAAATTATCGGTACCTTTTTCATTATATAGTAAAAAATAAAACCCCCAGTGGTGATTAAATACCACCAAAAGAAAGCTCTATCTGTCCCCAAAAAATGGTATAAAATTAATTCCAGTACAGCGCTGCATGACGGAATAAATATCAGTCTGCGATACCGCAGCGCTGAATACCGGAAAATGGCCTGGCCAGGAAGGGGGGTAGCACCCTGGTCAGCAAGTGGTTAAAATTTATGTTTTACTAGCTATTACATCAGCTAGAAGAGTGGGGGATTTGCAGGCGTGATCCATTATGGATCCTTTTTTAGTTATCCTTCCAGACAGTGATAGAAAGGTTTCTTCCTCTTTCCGTAGGTCTTGAGATATTTTTACCCTCTTTTTGTGGCAAGCCACAAGGTTTCAGGGAAGAGGAGTTCCACACATTGGATGTTAGAAGGTGTCTCCTAAGATATTTAGAAGTCAGCAGGATTTTCAGAAAATCCAGTCATCTTTTTGGTGGAAATAAAGGGCTTGCAACCTTCCAGAGCCTCTATAGTCCGCTGAATAAGACAAACTATTACCTATGTTTATCATTTAGAAGGTCAGAGAGAGCCTGAGACAGTAAGAGCTCATTTTACTAGATCTCCAGCCACTTCATGGGCAGAGAGAGCTGGGGCTTCAGTGGAACAGATCTGCAGAGCCGCTGTATGGTCGAGACAGGACACCTTCACCAGACACTAGAATGGAAGTTCTGTCACAGCAAGTTTGGCAAAAAAGCACCTAGCGTTTGGCAGAAAAGTATTAGTCTGTGACCCTGCCGTGATAAGGAAAGCTTGTTGGATTTGCTTGCCAATTCTCTCAGGGTGCCGTCCCGGAAAATGATTATAGAAATCCTTAGACTTACCAGTAACAGTATTTCTGAGAATCTTCAGGGACGGCAAACCTACTTCCCACCCTAATCTGTTTAAGGGCCTGTTCACATGATTTTGAGGTCCTGATCTGCAGACGCAGTGCTATGTGTTTTTGCCGCGTTCCAGTTTTTTGTTTTTTTGCTGGAGTGGGGCTGTCAGTATGTTAGCTGCAGTGCAGTGTGTTTTTGACGCGTTTTGCGTTTCCGGACTGTACAAAATGCGACATGCAGTATTTTTTGTGTAGTAACCTGAACGGACTGCGCACGTGAGAACTGTAGCCCATAAAACACATAGGGATACATTTTTAGTGCAGGAGCTTACAGATCAGGTCAGCACAGAAAACAGACGTTGTGTGAACAGGCCCTAATGGTGTTTTCATTGAATGTTGGTGTAGGTAGTCTACTTTTATCTCAACTGAGGGACAAGGGAGGTGGGAGGGATTTTTAAACTCTGTTCAATTGTGTTTCTTGTAGAAGGAGGAGCCAATCATCTCATTCGGGTTGCCGCCCTGGAGGATTCTCAAATACCATTACCGGTAAGTCCAACAAGGGATTTCACACAGGTGGTCTGATCGGGTCTACCTGTCTGTTTTTCAGATGGACCCGATCAGATGCCCAATGTGGTCTATGAGCATGTTTATACCCAGTTACCTCAGATGCCGGCCAGGTCCAGAGTTCTGTTTCGCCAGACCTAATCGTGCCGGGGGGGGTAATCTGATGTAAATAGACACATGTCCGTTTACATCTGACTCCCCATAGACCGACATGCATGTCACAGCTAGGGCTGCAACAACTAATCGACATAATCGATTATTGAAAAAGTGAAATCCAATCTGTACCACTCTAAATCAGGAGGGGATCCAAGCATGGATCTCGTCCTGATCAGCCCACGTGAAAAGGGCATAAAATGTACATGTCATGAAAGAAGTACAGGTGCTGCCATTGCTGGCCAATTTATGAAAATACTAGTTGCTTGGTTGTGTTTGGCTTCAATGCTTTGAAATCATGAGCCTGTAAAAAGCATGCTGTAAAGGAGTATCAAAATTCCAAGATTTGTTCAGAATCAGTGACAAAGTTTTGAGATCAAAGCTTTACCATGAGAGCCTGGAAACTTACAGGTCTATTCACAAAAGGGTGAAGAGTTTGGAGAAGGCAGGATAAGTGAACAATCTAGGACAACATAACTGAACTGGAAAGGGAGCTGAATTGGAGAATTTTTCCAAATCACCTATTTTGGCATAGCTCTTCACCCTTTTGTGAATAACCCTATTAATTTCCCAAAAAGAAGTTAGCAACGCCAGCCGACATCATTCTTTCATGACAGGTGTATTTAAAACAAAATTGGACAGTTAAATGAAAACAGCTGCCAGATATAAAGTGGAGGCATCTATCTTAGCAGCCACCAGGTCCCCACTGCTATGCCAAAATTACTGACTGCTCTGGTTGGCAAAGCTTGAGCACTTCCTAGAAAGTTCAAAGCTTGCCCTCCTGCCTTTTCATGCATTATTTGGCACTGAGGCAAACCATTAAAGTGAAGGGCAGCTACTACTCTTCTGCGTGTAGAATCATCCCAACAATTAGTAAATTATAGCTACTTTAAAAAAGGATTTAGATTTCAGTTTGCAATGTAACTTTAAAATCACTAACCCCTATACCCATAACCAACGGAAGCAGTTCTGCCCCTGCTTAAATAAAACCTATATTGAAAGAAACGTGGGGAGATTTTCCTGGCTATCATGATGATCCAAATTGCTAAGTATAATTGGCCTGGAAGAATTAAGGTGCCCATACACTGTACGATAATCGTATGCGATCGGTTTTTCGTACGATAATCGAGCAGTGTGAACGGAGACGTGCGACCGTTTCTACTGTACGGTCGCACGTCTTCTGTCGAACCAGCATGTTCGAAAACCAGCCGGGAATCGTACGATTCTCGGCTGGTTAGAACGGTGCTCGGAAGATAAATGCTGAACGGGCCGGTGTGCGCACGCGCACACTGCCCGTTCAGCATTGCGGTCATCGGAAGCCCGCCGCGATGGTTGTAGAGTGTATGGCCACCTTTACACCAAGATTTCTGACGCCACCTGCTACCGGTCTCCTGAAAGATTTGCCCTTTGTCTTGAATTGCTCCTGAAAATATCCAGGCAGTTCCTGTGTCTTAAGCCTCATAAAATGTATCTCTGCAGTGCATCTAAGGCAATGCTGCTCTGTTGCCAATCACGAGATTTGGTTATGACACCGTTGAGCTGCTCACTGTTCTTGCAGCTGCAGTACAAGGATCTCCATGTTTCTGCTTCATCCACCTATTTCTGCTCCTTGATAAGTCCCCATTAGTCATCAGATCACTGTTCAGCAGATGGCAGCTCTGACATGAGGCAGAAAAGTGTAGAACAAGGCATTGTTAGTAAGTATGGCAAAAGGATCAGCAACAGGGAGCCTATATAAGCAAAACTGGCTAATAGTTCTTCGGCCTCAGTTTGCCTTTTTCAGCCTCCCCAAATATTCCGGTATTCACTTTATTTACCTGCTTCCGGGAACCTACAAATCGCAACGTATATTGTCTAGTGGATATTATCCAGTGTGACCTATCAGGTCACTTTGCAGACTCCCATCTGTAAGAAATCATCAGTGATCAAGCAAATAGAAATAAAGAAAACTCATCCAGGGCTAAGTTGCACTAAAACTCCTCATGTGAAAAGAGAGTCCAAGGAAATCATACAGGGCAGCAATAAACTTTCAACATTTACACCATAACAATTTCGACCTAGATGCTTAACATTCAAGCAAAAGCAGAAAACGTATTCTGTTTACCAAATACTAGTGACTAACTTACCTAAGATTCTCACTTTCTCTTTTGCAATCCAGTGTGTGATTTTTTTTTATTGTATTCTATTAAATGTTATTTAAATATTATTGATTTATTTCACCTTTAACCACCACTCCAATAAAACATTATTAGAGTTAGTATACTGTATATTTCCGGTGGCCGTCAGGAGAGACGAGGCATACCTACAGCGCTCAGGAACTCAAACCACTAAAAACCATTTCCAGGTAGAAAATAAAGTAAAACAGCAACAACAAAAAAAGGGAAGAGATGTTCTTTTAAAAAAAATGCATTGTAGAATAGGAATGTCACTTAAATCATTGGCAATGGTGAGTTTGCAGCATGAATCATTTACCTCAGGAAACCAGGTTTAATTAGGTTTTGGGGTTGTTGATGATTGCCCATTTACAGATCAGGCTCCCGAGTCACATATCGCCCTTATACTCAAGCCTGATAAGGATCCCTCCTTGTGTGCAAATGTTCGCCCAATCTCACAAATGTGGATCTTAAGCTAGCTATACACCTTAAGATTATCTGCAGATTTTCTGTGGTCAGATGGAAGAGGTGCAACAGATTCCTCCATCTACACTTAACTGTGTGTATGGAGTCATCTCCACCTGCGCCAATCTGTTGCACTTTTTCCATCTGACCACAGAAAATCTGCAGATAATTGTAAGGTGTATGGGCACCTTAAACATATTTGCCAAGCTTATTGTGAATCGTCTCACATTGCATCACTTAAGCTCAATTAAAAGGAACAAGTGGGTTTTGACCCATAGAGGGAGGCACAAGACAACACACTGAATACCCTGACCCTTATTAAATTTGCTCAATCACATGATGTCCCTCTTTGTCTGCCTAGAGGCAGAAAAGGCTTTCAATCATTTAGGATTGGACCTTTATGCAGTCTACCTTACAACAGATTGGGCTCCCATCACTGTTAGTAGTGATGACCCTATACCACCACCCAACTGCTAGGATATGGGTCAACAGCAGATTATCGGACCACGTTGTGAAACATAATGGAAAGCACAGGGCTGCCCACTTTCACCTTTCCTGTATATTTTAGGCAAGGATCATTTGGCAGAAGATATCCCCTAAGAATCCCAATATTCAGGGTATCCACTTTAAAGACGCATATAATTTACCTCAGTGTTCCAACTCCAACGCACCAAGCTGAAAGGCTGACACTTGTCAGTTTTGTTTCCAGTTGCTCCATCTAAGATTCCCCACACATACCCAATACTGGCATCAAGATAACTGCATTCATTTTGCACAGGAGGTCACAACAGTGAGTTGCAGTATGCACACAAAACGGTAACTAACATTACTGCACCATTGTGTGTGGATGTCTTTATAGGTTTAGGTTATACATAAGGAAAGTAGAAGAAAACCATGTATGTGGAATAACAGAAACCACAATAACATTGGGCAAGGAATCTTTAATGTATGATGAACACTTAAACCAATCTCCTCTGAAACAGTGTTCTCTGTACAGGGAAGCCAATGTCAACTTGGGTGAGGTTGTAGTTAGTGCAGGAGCCTCCCCCTCTCAGGCCTGCTTTGATATACAGGTGTTGAGAGGAAGCTAGTTTATGTCTGTTGCTTACTTTAGGTGAGTGGAGGACAATTGCACTAGGTGTTATCAAAGGATTGTGTTATCAGACAACTCATGCCAATTGCAGGTAGGACTGGGACAGCATGACATCTAGTTATCAGAACTAAAACTAGACACTGTGCAGATACATTTGAAGAACAGCAATTGCAGATGGCTGACACCGAGACATTTCAGTTAAATACGACAGTACTGTATTATATTTCCTTTATATTGTTGATTTGAGACTGTTAGCTCTACTCATGCGTGTTTACTGTCCTCAAATGCACAGAAGAGAAGAATCTTGTAGAGAGAAAGAAGCTCCCTCCTACTACAAATTCATTAGACTAAATCACCAGCAGCAAGGAGAAGCAATAAATACCAGCACTGCTCACAGACACAAATGTAGACAAAGCAATACAGTTCTCTCTTCCATACACAAAGCATCATATAATGGAGCCATACAAACATTTCATCCACACAGAGAAAGACATATTGAGTACACATGCACAGAAAAACACTAGAATGCAGACATGCATGATCACACTCAGAAAATCAGCATACAGACAATACCTGTAATCTTTAATGCAGTCGGACACACAAAATACATACTCGTATGCTGCAAAAACAACATCATATTAAAACAAAGAAACATACACAGAAGCACACAGGCAACAACCGTCACATACTCTAACAGTGCCATTCATCTACAAACACACTTCTTGTTGTGCATGGATAAAGCACACTGCTTGCAGAGGACATTTGGTGTCTGTTTCTTTATGTGTCATTTGCTGGCAAACAGAGCTCCTACAGTCATAAGAGCCCCAAGAGCCACTGCCCCAGTTAGTACGGTTTTCAGAGAGGCCCAGTTTCCTTCACGCTGTCTTCTTGCTTCTTCTATAGCACCATCACCATACAAAGTTAGAAACCCATTCTGGAAAAGAAAGAGAAAACGTAATAACATGGTTGGAATATCACCATGTTGGCAGCAGCCACTCACTGTACATTTGCATAATTTTAGAGTTAACTCAAGTACACGTAAGGAAAATCAAGGCCACGCCACCTGCAAATTCTATTTTTATCATTTTTAAATACGCTGATGCTGGAAGAGAAGAGAAAGGACACCACTCATCATGCAACTGATGTAATGTATGCATCTTTTTTTTTTTTTAAACAGGTGTATTGCGTGGAGATGGGGAGTGGTTCTAGTAGGGGGTGTGGTGAGTACGGTTCCTGAATGGGGAACTAGGGCCTGGAGTTCAGCTTTACATTAAAACGCACACGCACCTACTATTACGCGAGGAAGGGGTGGGCTTGAGCCTACAACCATAGGAGGTGGATGCTGTGTGCATATCAAAACACTCTGGTTTTCAGGGGTTTCAAGCACCCAACATGAAACAGAATCTAGCATGTAGACAGGCACCTGGAAGTGCCTCCTACTAAATAAGTGGTATTTTAGTTACTTATAGGTGTCCACAGCTTAAAAGAGAACTATGGGAAAACCTTTTTATCCCGTAATTCTCTTTAGGGTCACGGGAGAACATATACTAACATCCTCCTGTGACCCAAAACTCAGTATATAGTGGGCTATTGCCCACTATTTATATACTGAGCGCTGCAGCCGGGACAGATCCCGACAATACTGTTGAGATCCACCCAGCTGGCTGATTGACAGCGGGCTCTGCCTCCCTACAGGGAGAGCCACTGTGCCGCCCTCTCCCCTGTCCGTTCTGGAGGAACGAAGAGGGAAGGGGGGGGGATCCCTGTGGGGAGCAGTGACCGACAGTCAGGGCTCTCTGCAGGGAGATCTATAGGAGTTGACATGCGTCAGTTTCATGGTCACAGGTCGGCTCGAACTATGAGGATGAGTGGCAATCACTCACCTCATAGTTCTCCTTTAACATGTGAAGTAGCAGACATGAAAATAGAGCACATTGTCTGATGTAGGCCTAAACAAATGACCTTGCTCATTAAAAGACCATATTTACCAAACACCCCCCACTGTGGTTTAGCCTCGTGTACTTTTGGAAATATGTACGTGTTACCTGTAACTCTTTAGATCTACAACTTTATCATCTGTAACTATAATCAATAGGTTTTTTTTGAAATTTGAAAAACTCTGGGCATAATTATTCTTTACCCTTGCAGTGGGGCTACTCCCTCACGGCAAGGGTTAAGTGCTCGTGTTGATCTAGGGAGAAAAAAAGGCTACACTCACTTGAAACTCAGTGCCGCCTGTCTCCTCTGCTCCAGCGATGGAATGTCGGTCAGCGTCCTCACATCCTGCACACTGTATAGGACATGATGACTCACAGTACCTTAGACTACCGCAGCAGAGAAGGAGAAAGGCGGCAGGGACCGGTCTAACAGCCAGAGATTCAGGTAGGTATAACTTTTTTTTTTTAAACTTTTGTCCCTAGACAAAACTTGAGAGCTTAACCCTTGCAGTGGGAATAGCCCCACTGCAAGGGTTAAGAATAATTATACCCTTCTTTCAAGAGAATGTCATTTAGGAAACAAAAGCCTCAGATATTTAAGTTTATGCACATACCTACAGCAGCTTTCAGTACAGCCTGCTTCACCTAAATGCCACATTGTTCTGAGAGGAAATGCCTCATCACAACTTGATAGTGAAGAAGATGCCTGTCCATTGCCATCTCCTGCACATTTCTAATGACAGACCAGCACAGTGATGGGGTAATAAGAATGTGTGGGGAAGGAGAGACCATTCATGCTCAGACACTCAGCTTTGTCTATCAGAACAACCCAGAACTTGGGCAAAGAGGAGGTACTGAAAGCTGCTTCAGGTATGTGCTGCACTTCATATTTGTCACCAGCTTTTCACTTTCTTATTTATAGTAAAAAAAAAAAAAAAAAATCACATTTTTTCAGCTGTTTCAAATGCCTATTAAATGCCTTACAATGAATGCTGCTACCTGATGTTTAAAAGTTTTAGTTTCCTGCAGAATCAGCTGGTCCCCTGAGCACTGGCCCTGATATCCTGTTTTAGGATGGCTTCTTTCCCTTGCAGTGTCCTATAGTCACCCTTGTGTGTGCTAGTAAGCTGTGTGCATCTCCACAATCACAACAAGGTGATCCAATTCCCTGCTCCCTGATTCTTACTCCTTGTTCCTCTGTTCTCAAAACTAGTAGATGGACAGCTGCTGAAGACTGCATTCCCTTGTGATCTTGTGCTGGACAGGAAGTTCAAAGAGGAGAGGAGTTCAAAAGGAGTTGAAACTGTTTGGAAACATGATGACTAACTTCTTGGGCAAAAATTCAAAGAAATACTTTCCAGGGCGATGTATATTGTTTGATCTGGATTCGTTATTAAAAAAAGGTTTGAGAGTTTGATGCTACTTTAAAGTGACCGAGTGTCACAAACAGAATTCTCCCTTAAGGTCCAGTCAATAATAAACAGATAAATATACTATAAAAAGAAATTTAAAAGTAAAGTTGGTATTTCTTACCCATCCCCCATTGCTCTGCATCCAGTCTCTCAAGTTGTTCTCCATAAAGATCACCATCCAGTCTTGAATCCGTGGTAGAAGGGGAGCCATCTCTTTGTTGACACACTCTGCACAAAGTGCAGCTCCAAACACAAAGAATGCCACCACGCGACCCCAGTTTACCCCACCTTGGAACAGACCACCTGCTACCTCCGCAAAATGTGTGTATGCTGTCCCAGGTGTCACATGTATCTGTGTAGATATTTCACTGAAAGCCTGCCGGAAGCGTTCCTCAAACTCATCCCCTGCAGCACGCATAGCTGAATGCAGACTACAGGATGGAGGTCCAACTGGCTCTGGAACCAAACCCCGCTGACACAGCTTGTACTGGACAAAATCTTCCACCAGGGGGCGGGATCTTGGGTCAGACTGCGCCATCCAGGCTCTCTGAAAGCAAAACACAAAAACACCCTCTTGCCATCAATCTACAGAAAACTCTAAACCAGGAGAAGGCAACCTTGGCACTCCAGCTGTGGTATAATTACAACTCTCATCATGCCTCTGCCTCTGGAAGTCATACCTGTGATGGTCACAATCTTGCAATGCCTCATAGAACTTGTAGTTCCCCAACTGCTGGAGTGCGGAGGATGCCCACCCCTGCTCTAAACTCTTAAAACTATACATAGAAAAGATATGTCAAACTGGCATTATTTTGGGCTGCATGCAGCTCATATATCACTTTCCTTGTGCCTCCTCAGCCAATCTAAAGGTTTCAACTGAATGAGGTCCAAATCTATTCTCCAACTCATTATTGTGATATTTCCATTCATTATTTTACAGACTTAGACATGTTACTAGGTACAAATCAAATAGACAAAATTGCATTGCCCGACACTTTTCAAAAGGAAAAACCTGTTCTCACAGGTGACGTTCCCTGCAGACTAATCAGTCTGTTGTCCAGCGCAGGTCCTCTTCTAGGCTGAATGAGTTTCTGCATTATTCAAATCGCATGAGCCCAGGAAGTTATGGACCCTTCCCCAGGGGATGCCTCATCCAGCCAGCCTGGAGCCAAAGCAGAGTGCTGTGGAGAATGAAGCTCACATCACTAGCTGAGCACAGTTCTCCTGCAGGACCACCCACTGCTGAAGGAAGAGGACCCATGATGTCAAATGACTGGGGAGAAGACCCATTCAAAGAAAGTCATCTTGAAGGGGCATAGTACACTAACAAAAAAAAACATATGCTCATGTAAACTAGGACTGCAATCAACTAATCGATCAATAATAAATCGATAAGGAGCATAAGTTGTTGGATCACCTAGTTCTTTCCTCCACGCTGGGAGGAGGGCACAGCATGCAGTGGGCGGTTGCAATAGCCAGCCTGCTATTGGCTATTGCAATTTGAAATGGCCAATAGCAGGCTGGCTATTGCACCAGCCCACTACCTGCTGCATTTACATTCAGCTGCCGTCTGCGGAATCTTGCCACTGGCAGCTGTCATTCCCTGGCTGAAGCTATTCAAACGCCATGTGCTAACAATACAATTATAATTAAAAATTATTTAAAAACAAACAAAAAAAGTCATTTTCTGACATTCTGCTGTGGGGAGGTGCCCTGCAGTGCCATTCATTTCAAAGGCACCCCAAACGAGCCTCCCACCCACAGCATGATCCCCCGCACTGGATGCACAGTACAGCAATGACGTGTGTTCCAGTGCAATGCAATTGCAAAAAATAGTGCAAGCATCTTTATTCTGAAGTAAACTTTGTAACACTACATCTGTGTATTTTATTTTAAATTGAGAATGGTAGTTAATTTTTTTTTTTTTTGCCGATCAGAAAAAATTAATTGGCCAACTAATCGATAATGAAAATAATTAGTTGCAGCCCTAATGTAAACAGCAAGTATTTGAATTACTTACAATAAAAGGAGGAGTTTTGAGGGGGGGTATCATTTAAAACCATAAGTTCACAGCAAATACAATGGCTGCCCATGTGCACCATTCACATGAAACCATTGCGTTGGAAAAAAAAAAAATGTAGGCATGCTGTATTTAATGCAGCGCAACACAAAAATGTATGTCAACACAACATGCTTCAACAAGTCTATCGATAATTAAAGAAGATCTCCAGGAAAAAAAATCAACCCTTGCATTGGGGCACTGCAAAGGTTAAGTGCTCATTTGTGTCTAGGAACAAAAATAACAAAGATATACTCACCTGAAGCTCTGAGCTGGTCAGCTGTCACAGCGCTCCCTCCAGCCTGTCTTCTCCACCACAGAACATTAAAGTCTTCCTCAGCATTCTCATGTCTATACACAGTGTATAGATGTGATGATTTATGAGACCTTCGGCCGCTGCAGAGGAGAGACAGAAGAAGGACCGGTCTAAGAAGCCGCCGGCTCGGAGCATCGGGTAAGTCAAGACACTAACGAGCACTTTACCCACTGCAAGGGTTAATAAAAAATAACCTAGAGCTCTTCTTTAAAACAAGTTAATATTTTGATGATGTATGGGCTACTGCTCTATGAGCACTACAAATTTATTTCCTTTCCTATCTGACTAAATGTGGGGGAGGGGGGAGGGGGGGGAAATCAAGAAAGAGTGATGTAGGTATACAGCAGAAAATGGAACAGATCCTGCTCCTAATTAACAAAAAGGAGCGATCTGCTCTGTTTCCTATTTTTTTTCTGCATTAAGGTGCCCATACACTGTGCGATTATCGCGAGAAATCCCGCGATCGTACGATAATCGCAAAGTGTATGGAAGGCGTGCGACCGTTTTTACTGTACGGTCGCACGGCTTTTGTCTAAGGAGCATGCTAGAAAACCAGCCGAGCATTGTATGATTTTCGGCTGGTTTTTAGCATGATCGTACGATCAATGCCGCACGCGCACACTGCCCGTTCAGCATTGCGGTCATCGGAAGCCCGCGAGTACGATCTGCCTGTCCAAGATGGGCAGATCGTACCTTTTTTTAATTACTTTACAACCATCGCAAGACTAAGGTCTTGCGATGGTTGTAAAGTGTATGGCCACCATTAGACATGGCATAAGCAGCAGGAGAGCTAGAGTTGCTTGCGCTGGTTCCCTCTGCCTGCCGCCCCCCCTCACTCAGCAGACTGTGAGAGGGAGGAGGAGGGCTGTGAGCTCTGTTTTTGCTGGGGCTAACAGCTGGACATACAGGCAGGAAAAGGTGTTTTCTAGGGATGCACTGATACCACTTTAAGACCGAGTACCGATACTTTTTATCAAGTACTCGCAAATACCAATTACCGATACTTTCTTAAAGGGACAGGTCACATTTTTTCTAAAGCAATACAAACTAATGCTTTAAGGTCACTTTCTTAATATTATGATTCATGAGATGACGAGGGAGCATGACGCCGGCTTCCCGGCCAATCAGAATGCCGGGCGCTGCGTCATTACACGGCGCCTGGCTTCTGGATTTTCTAGCTTCCTGACCAATCGGGAAGCTGGGCAGTGCGTCATTGCACGCTACCCGGCTTCCTGATTGGCCGGGAAGTCGGCTACATGCTCTCTCATCACAATGGCCAATCAGGAAACCGGGCAGCGTGTAATGATGCGCTGCCCGGCTTCCTGATACAGGAAGTACACGTGCTAGGTATCGGAGCATTTGGGCGAGTACTCACCCAAATACTTAGTATCGGTATATCCCTAGCGTTTTCCTATTGCTATATGCAGGTGCTACCCATGTGTGTGTTCACTGCATAAGGAGAGAAAGGCATGTATGCTGTCTGCCAGGTCACATGCACACAGTTCACATTTTGTATGCCAGATTCCACTAAATGAATGGAAAAAATCCCTCATTCTCATCAATGCACAGCACAATAAAGTCTTAGAACAGAAGGATTTCACATGTCTCAATCCATCACATACTCCACTAGTAAGGATTACTCCTCATTTTCAGGATAGTGGGCGGAGATATGAAAATCATTGCTTTACAGCCCATCAGCCAGATGCCCATTCAGGAACCCCTGGAATAAGTTCTTATATTAAAACATGTGAATGTCTTTCCCTTTTAAAGGAATTGTTTTAGTCCCTTCTCACCTTAACCTGTATGGCTATAATGTATCATTGCTCAACTCCATTGAAGCCATGGTTTTTAAACACTGCACTGATGACAGCTGAAAAAGCAATGGATTTGCAGAACTCCGTCCGCTGTCCTGAAATCAGAAATAAACCTGTTATTTCTGGGATATCTTGATACGTAGAAGGGAATTATCAAAACTGGAGCAGACCAAATCTGGAGCAGTTGTGCATGGCAACAAATCAGCTTCTCTCTTTCATTTTCAAATCTTAACTAAACAAACTGAAGAAATAAGTTGATTGGTTGCCATGGACAAGTGCTCCAGATTCTGCTTTACTGTGCTGTGAACTGATTAGAGTGAGGGCTTCTTGATAGTTTTAGTCCCTCATCACTGTAACTTATATGATTTTAATCTCCTGTAGAGAACTAAGAAAAAAGGAAATGAATTGAGTTCTTCCCAGGTGATTCATGTTGTAAAAAAATTCCCCTTTTACACTGGCAGTAAGGAGTGTCCAGTCTCCTCCCACATAACATGTTTCTCCTTCACAGCCCAATCTAATAATATGGGACTGGCTGCAGGCTCCCAGCACAACACTACGTAGAGGGGACATCAGTGACTCCAGATATAACATATTGTATGGCCCCCTGCCTTCTGGCATCAGCCGACCCTTCTTTAACCCGGAATAGCCCTTCCAAGGGCCCCCACAGTGCCTTTGCCGCCCACCTACCAGTCATGTGCTGCTGGGGGCTCCCCCAGAGACGGTTGATGTTACTCTCATGCTGCTCTCTACCCTTCGGCCCGTTCTGCCGTTGCCTTCTCCGGGCTAAAACGGAAACACTTCCGGCTCTGTCATGGCGACGCCCGATGACATCACGCGGAGGCGCGCCTTTCTCCGCTATGATTGGACAGCTCTCCTGGTACCGGTGGCAGCAGAAAGCCCCGACACCGTAATGTGCAGACTAAACTGGCACGCCAGTATTCCGCTGCCACCAGCAAAACTGATAGGAGTGTGAACCCTCTTTGGATATGTAGCAGCATGATGCTGTAGGTCGCACAATACTCTACGTATAGGAGATAGAGTCCTCCTCCGACAAACGTGCTGCTCTACCCCACGTGTCCGCCGCAGAGCTGCCACCTCCCAAGGTTCACCACACGAGAGCCGAGGCTTCTAGACTGCACGGATGCAGCGTGTCAATGCGTGCCGCGCCTGCAGAGGCCTCCCTGTCAGTTTTGCTGTTGTACTGCTGGGTCTCATATTAGGCAACTTGTCTCCAGCTTCCTCATTTCCTCGCGTCTGCTCCAGCCCGGATCACCTTGCTATGAGCCCCGCCCTCCCACTATCCTCCAATCCCGTGAGGGGGCTGGGCCAAGCTTTTCACCGTCGTCCGCGCTACTCGAAGCATTACGGTAGTGGTCCAGGGACTCCGCAGGATGGCAGTGATGCAGAGGATTCGGGGAATGATGGAGGAGCATCCCTGGGAGCACAGCAGGGGAAGATGAGGACACGGTGGAAGGAGGCATTGGAATGACACAGGGAGCAGATTAGTGCTGGGCATTAAAGACTAGGTGGGTCCAAGGGAGTGCAGCAAAAGTGGTGCAGAGGTGTGTGTGAGAGAGCCGGCTGCACCTTTACCTTCAGGGAATTTTACACATACCATTAATGCCTTCCAGCTGTTAATAATTTATGAATCTGCAACACATTAACACAGCTATTGCCTACAAAGTATTTTAATCTACATCACCCATGTCACTGCTGAAGCCTTAATGCTATTTTGTAATTCTTCTGTATAGAAAAATGTCCTGCCGCTCTCGGCCTCCCATGGGGGACATCCCCAGAAATCTGAGCTACATTGCTGGACTTTATGAACGAGCCTACTACCGCACAGCTAGACCGAGCCTGGAGGAGCACGATGAAGGAGGAGAAGAAGCGTTATCCTCTCCAGGTTGCTCCAGCGCTGTAAAACCCACAAGTGCTCCGCGAAGGTGGCGTTCCCGATCCGCCCCAGCTTTGCGCGTGCCCCGGGCAGAGCGCCACCGCAGCCCGGAAAGCAGGAAGAGGGTCCGCTTTGCAGATGCCTTAGGGCTAGAGCTGGAGTCTGTACGCCACTTCAGACGTGAGGATATGCCCCAAATTCCCCAACATGTGACCTACCGCCTACAGAAAGCATTGCTGGAACAAATAGGAGGATCCTGCAGCTCCAAGGAAGATGTGGTATGTTGTAGATTTCCTTCTTCATTGGCTGCATTCTTGTTGTAGTAACTTTGATAGTAACAGTAAGGGCTCATGCAAATGCCCGTAGGAAAATGTTGCCGGCAGAACCTGGCTAAAAGACCCTGCTTTAAAAAGTGCCCTGTACACATGTTGTGCAGTGTTTACATGTGTACAGCATGTAGCACAAAAAAATCCTTATTAGTTGCTAGTTGGCTGGAGCCACCTGCATTCTAGCACAAAAAACGGCTTCTAGAACGCAAGCGGCTCCAGTAGAGTCCATTGGTGCTGTACACATATATACGGTACCTCAAACATTTACATGCATACAAAATAAAATATGGTCAATACTCAAGACCTCTGATGCAAATTTTCCTGTTTTGATTTTACGGATCTGAACGCAGGACAAGTTTGCTGATCTTTAGGCACTATCTGCATGGGCCCATAATAACCAATACACCTGCTTTGAGATCGAAAAAAAGCTTTAGTAGTAAAAACATGAGTGAGGGGAATTTAGTAAGACTGGAGCAGATAGAATCTTGAGCAGCTGTGCACGGCAACCAGTCAGCTTCAAGCTTTGATTTTCAAACCTTAGCTAAACAAGCTGAAGATAGAAGTTGATTGGTTACTATGCACAACTTCTCAAGATTCTGTCTGCTCAGTGGCGGAACCAGAGAAGGAGAATATTGCCAGAAACATCGATATGCAGAGCTGACATTTTGCGGCTGTTGTCCATCAGATAGATTATCTTTTTATGGGTCTGTTTTTTCATCTTAAAGTGAACCTCACCCAGCCTAGAAAATGAGTGAGATAACAATAGCACTGGCAAGCAGATACCCTGTAGTGTCATTCAGCATTAAAATGCTAAACACCCTGCTATTCTATTATGATTCTGGCATTTGATAGTTGAATGGCAGGGCTGGGGCTTAGGACATGGAGAAAGCAAGGCCTTATAGCGACATGGAGAGAGATCAAGGCCCTGTTTACAGGCCATGCACTAGACCCAAAGGATTGATTCAAAAACTATTACACACGCTTGCAAGCACCTCAAGATGATGGTCAACACTTTTGACCTTGAACACAATTTAGGAAAAAACAGGTTCATTTTGAGGCATTCACGTTGTTGTACCCAATGATTATGAATATCACTTGTGCAAGGAGCATCGTTTTTAGCATCACATGATACAGACTCAGACTCAACCACAAGCCTGTCTTATGTCTAAGTCGCCTATGTTTGCCTGAGAGGCAATACTGCTGAAGACAGGGTAGATTTTTCTATGGGGCCACAATAACTTCATAGTTCTGTTCTTGCTAGCATACCTTTCATACAAACCTTTTAATGTAAACTGACTATATTAAATTACCACTTCATCCTTGCTGATACTTACCTAAAAGAACAGTGATGAATGTTAGTTAATACTTTTATTTCATTGGGTGCAATGTTTAACCAAGATGTTGTTTTCCAGAGCTGGTGTGAGGCTCGCCATGTCATATCCCCTTCTTGGACAATAGAGCCAGGAACCTTGGAAAAGCAAACTTGGGAGCGGAGCGCCTGGGATCAACAAACATGGGATCAGCGCGTGTGCTTACAGAATATGCGCTGTGAAAGCTGCTTCCTGTGGGGGTCCGTGAGGGTCCTGGATCTGGCTTATGAAAAGAGAGTTACAGTGCGCTATACTCTGGATGGATGGCTTTCTTATCAGGATACCCATGCTCTGTATGCTGCTCGCCTGTGCCATGGTGGAGCTGGCCACCCTGGCACAGACCTCTTCACCTTCCGTCTACCTCTACCACCACAAGACCAAGCCCTGCCTTCGCCACTGCAATTTGCGATTCATTATCAAGTTGGAGATGAGGAGTTCTGGGATAACAACAAGGGCAAGAATTACAGCCTGCGTCTGTCTAATGCCGAAGCTTCCCAGACTCAGGATTCTGAAAATGGATGGATACATTTCATATAATACAGAGAGGATAAAAGTTCAGTGTCTGATAATTGTTCTGCATATCAATGTTAGACCAAAGAATACTGACCAGATAACTAATATCAGTATACAATAAAAGTGCTCAGAATTTAGGGCATAATAAAGTGGAATTATCAATATAGAAATTACAGCATTTTTTAAATGAAGCAGAACAGTATTTGCATTGATATATAGCAATTAGTCAGACATGCGCTTTGTACCTCATAGGGTTGTCCACTTCCAGGAGAATGTTGGAAACCCTCTTTTCTCTTGACAGTGACCACCAATGGAAGGTCCTCAGTCTCAGATACCATGTGGCATGGGTGTTTATATGAGACATGGAGTCCAAGTTTGTTTTGTCTTTCTTATGATAAAAATGATTAACTGCCATTAGTAGGAAGGCAATGAGAAATCTGTGTTATTAGATTAGAGATGAATAAAAAGGTGATCTATTTGTACGAGTAGTAGTCAACTCCCCATCAATGATCCTTAGGCTTCTAGGTATCTAAACATGGCCGGAGAGCGATTGCTAAGTGTGAAAAACCCTTTTAAAGTCTCAGTATGTTTCTGCTAGGTTAATTAATGGCAAAGATGGACAACTTTCAAATGTAAATAGATCAGAGCAATTAGTCCTACAGGGAACTCTGTGGACAGAGGTTGATTGTCAGTAATGTGAAATTACAATCTATTAAGAGGATAGCTGGGTATATTTATCCAGCCACACTAATAGTGTGAAGAGCACTGATGCGTATTAAGCTGTAGCAACCAATCCGGTGAAGTCAGAATACTGATCTGTTACTGGTTACTGAATGGCTGCTGTGGGTTACTGCACATTGCATTTTCTTTTATTAGAGAAAAGTAAAACAAAAAAAATCAAAATTTCTAATAAACTTAAAAGGACTGCAATATATATTATTGTCATATAGCTAGTAGAAGTTAGTTACATTTAACTTGATTTGTTCTGGAATGTTGAAGGTGTTTAGTTCCTTATCCAAGCAACGTCTTAAAGTGACACAAAACTCAGGAGTTAAACCTTAAAAATGCATTCAAGTATCTTAATTATGGGCAAAAATGTATCTAATGTGTGCATCACTCAGCTGTAGATCCTTAAATTATCTATGAATTGGTGTTTACACTGTCCTTCCTTCTGGAGGATGGCTACTTTTGTTCACCATGGTTCCTGTGTGTGTTGTAAGGTAGCCACCACTCCAAGGTCACTCCCGTGATGGACTACAATCTCAATATAAATCAGTAAACTAAACATGAGATTGTAGTCCATCATGGAAGCAAGCTTGGAGCGGTGACTACTTTACAACACACGCAGGAACCATGAGAAACAAAAATAGCCCCCCTACAGAAGGAAGGACAGTGTACAGTGACAGTGGAAGGACAATTGACTACAATTCAGAGATAATTTGAGGATCTACAGCCGAATGATACACAAATAAGACACATTTCTGTTAATAGTTAAGGTACTTGAATGGATTTTTAAGGTTTAACTCATATGTTTAGTCTTGCTTTAAGTTCTGATAAGTGTCAGAAACATACCCCCACATTTAGAATCACATGAACTCCATAATCCAAACACCATGGAATGTGCCAAGGCAGATGTTGATTGGTCAAGAACGGGATGGCAGATGTAAAAGTCAGTGAAACCACCCTGTTCTAATAGCATATTCCAATCCCACAGTGGCACAGTGGAACTGTTGTCAAATTGCCAGAATAGAGATGTTAAAGCATGATTAGATGTTTTGAAAAGTCCCTACCCTGTGTAAGGATGGTTTTCCCACTTTGGAATAGATTGCCTCTGTCACGTCTCTCGCTAACCAATTGTTCTGTTTACAAAGTGCGCCTCACTTCCTCCAAAGAATGTTCCCTATCCATAAGATGGAGGAGTAAGAGGAGAGGTGTAGAGTTCCCCCTCCTAAGTTGTACCATTGTTTGTTGAGATGTTGTTTCATCTCCTCAGTGTACTTGTCTTTGCATTCCTTACTACACTTGACTGCATATACCCAGTTGTTTTCTTGTGTTTGGGTGTTAGGTCTTTTGGACTTTAAAAGCATACGGATGTCATTTTTGTTCAAATTCCTCTGCGTTTTTCTGAACGTCAATGTTTTGCTGACTCTCATTAGAACTGAAAGAGCTGCTTGGCTATGCAGTGAAACGTCTTCAATATTACAGAACAAGTCCAGTTGAATGTGACTACTCTTAGCTCAACCATGAATAAATAAGAATCTTCAGAGACATTATTGTGACGTGATTTATAAGTTAGAATGTTGCTTCATTGATGAGAAAATATTCAGTGTTTAAGGGCGTATATGTTGTAAAATGTTATGTATATTATAATTACTATAGACTGAAGCAAGTGGAGTGTAAAAACCCACTTATGTGTTGAAAAAAGAGAGAATTGAAATATTAAAAAAAAAAAATGACTTTTTTTTAAAGAGACAACCTAGTTGCTCAGGGCCTCTGAGGGCTACAGCTGCTATGTCTACCACACTGAACAGGAATATAGGGATAAAGGCCTGGTAGATGTTCTAACCCTGCTTTACTCCATCCAGAGCTAAGATATAAAGTTTGGATGAAAGTAAAAAACAATACAAAGATTTGTTTAGTAGAGGGTATAGGGGGTATATTTTAAGGGAACAAGAATGGAGAAGGAAAGTATGTATTATTCTTTAACTATATGGCAATAAGAGTGTATACACTGGAAGCAGAGTCCTACTACCATATTATACTAAGGGCAGAGTGTAATATAATACTTGTTTACACAGTGTGCAGTGCGTACACAATATATTTTGTACATTACAGGTGCATTGAGAAAAGTACTGTATTACCTTATTGAACGTAAGAGATTAATTAGTAATGGTGTTTCCCAAACTCGTCCCTGAAATCCTACTTTCTGAAGCTAATAGGGCTATTAATATTTAAAGCGACTCTGTCTCTATACTAAAATGATGCAGTCCAGTCATACCTGGCAAAAAGGAGGAAAAAAAAGTGGGCCACCAAAATTTGCTACATGAGCTACTTTTCTTTGCGTTTGTCATGGGTGTTTTTTAAATCAGCACCGTAGATCCATTCTTACTTTATGAGCTGTTTTTTGGTTTTAAACTACCCCATTTCATTTATAATTTGGAGGCTTCATACTGTGGCCCCTCCCCTGTTTATGGGTGTCTCCTTTGCCTAACAGGTTGCAAAGGAGATACCCGAGTGTGCGTGCTCCTGGCTGAGTACTGAGCTGAGCTGTGTGCATCCACTGGAACACACAGCACGCCACAGGCCACACCCCTACTTCCGCCTCCTCACAGCAAATTGAAAAAAATGCAAAAATACCCCCCCAAAAAAAATTGAAAGTCCCCCGACCTTGCGAGTGCCAAAAAACATGTTTTTGTTTTTCCAAATGAGAACAACAAACCTTATTTGATATACCCTGTTTCCCTGAAAATAAGACCTACCCCGAAGATAAAACCTAGTACTATTTTTGGGAATTGCTAAAATATAAGACCTACCCTGAAAATAAGATCTAGTTGTGACCATTCCCAGGGCCGGTGGTGGCATAAGGGGGAACCTGAAGAGCCGCGGGAGAGAATCAGTGGTGCCAACTAAGCCATCGCTAGAGGAAGTGAGGCAGCAGCGGAGGGAGCAGAGCCGCATAAGCCGATGCCTCCTCTATAGCGCCGGCTCCTATCACATGTGGAGTGATACCAAATGCACTCCGCCTGTGAGGAATTGATAGTGAAAGCGCACTTCCCTCATTCTGGACAGCAATTGGTTAGCAAATTGCTCTTGGAAAGGCACGACACCCCTGATTGACCTGATCACCATATGTTTCTACATAAATAAGTGTGGATTGTTGTACAATAAAAAAAATAAAAAATAAGACCTACCCTGAAAATAAGACCTAGTGTGTTTTTTGAGCCAACAAAAATATAAGACAGTGTCTTATTTTCGGGGAAACACGGTATTCAACCTCTGGCATGCATTGCAATTTAAAAACATAATAAAATAAATTATAGCAGAATGCACAGGTATGAAGTGAGGTGGGTATAATAGGGAAAACTCTCCAGCTTTGCATCCTAACACTAATGAAATTAGCCGTACATAAAATATATACTATTTAATATATAAAATATTACAAATCAACACCCTATTGCATTTACCTGGAAGTCTGAATCACTTAACCACTTTTTGGGAAAGGTTTGGGAAACACAGGGCTACAGCACAATGTTGACGGCAGAGTATAATGTTTATGAATGTTTACGAAATATTAAAATACAAATAGGAAATGAGCCAGTATGAGCACATATGAGCAATTTAGGACTCATTTACTTTACAAAATAGTGAACAATATACAGTTGGGTGTTCTAAAAATGTATTTATTTGGGGGGGGGAATGTGCTATGAGCAGAAACTTCCTTGTTTTTACTTTGTGTGTGTCTTATGTCCCACGTGTATTTGAAATGTGTAAATTAGGGCTAAGCAAGATTTTACAATAGTAGTAGTTCTTAAAAAAGAGAACTAAAGTTAAACCTCATTTTTGGCTTTGGTGCTCTTTCGGGTCATAGGAACACATTTGCTAATGTACTTCTGTGACCCAAACTCAGCATCTAGCGGGCTACTGCCTGCTATTTGCTGACAGCGCAGAGTCGTGCTGCAGATGGAAAAGATCCCGACAATAATGTCAAGATCCACCTCACGAACTGATTGGCAGCTGGCTCTAGAGTCAGAGTCAGCTGTGCCCACCCCTCCCCTGTGTGTCCCCATCTGTCCCTCCCCGCTGGGAGGGATCCCTGCGGGGAGCAGTGACTGGCAATCACCGCTATCTGCATGAAGGAGACCGAGCGATCAGCAGTTCGTGACCATTCAGCTCGTGAGCTATAGAGCCGACATGTGACACCTGCAGTGTCATACACTGGCTCGAAGTATTGGGAAGAGTATATTATACTGTCCCAATAATTCTACTTTAAATACCTACTTGCAGTTATTTTATTGTCTTGCAATATGCCTCTGAACATTGAGCATTCTCTTTGCAGGTCATAGCCCTCTCCTCTTCTGGGAGTGTCTAATTACGGTCTGTACTGGCCCAGCTCCTCCATCCCTCTCTTCACCTCCCTACATAACCTTTTATGTAACAAACGGGAATGGTATAGAGTGCTCTGAGTCTGCTGGGACTGTTGCCCTCACATATAAGATGATGGTG